CATATATTCTGGAGAATTATGGATTCATGATACTGCTTTTACAGTGCAATGTTACTTAGCTTCTTAAATGATAGAATTATGTGCCACTTGCATTCTCGGTAGGGGGAGCGCCTCCTTGTCTCTCTGCTTGCTTCTTAATATCATTCAACCCTCCCTTTTGACCTAATGAAACCATTTTTTCATTACTCAGGTAAAACCGGTTGCCTCTGACAGCCACTGCTACCGTTCTTCCACTACGGCCAGGTTTGCCTGCTTACTTCTTGCTAGGATCTCAAATCCATGATTTCACTACTGAATACATCTTATAGCCTCTTTTTCCTTTTCTCCAGCTGCCCTCAATTTCAGGTATTTTCAGAGTGACTGATGACTTTGAGATGGACCCACAGGCATGAGGAGCATCCCTCCTTGCCGTTTCCATGGAGCACTGTTTTACATTGTTCACTTTTGCTCTGAGGTTGTTGGGATAAATTCTTTCTGCTGTTGTCCCAGCAGTCTGCAAGTTTCTTACTGTTCTTTCTTTCAGGGGGTTCACAGTATGATCAAAATCACATCATCCTCAACACAGTCAATGAAGAGAAGTTAACACAAGTGTGGGAAGCCATGGTCCTATAAACCTGAACAAAGAACAGAAGAGCAGCCTTTCTGGAAGACTCTCCAGCTGTCAGCCATGTAATTTAAGCAGCACAGGAGGGCAGTGGTGAGAGAGGAGCAAAGCAGAAAGTGGGCTGACTGTCTCCATCCCGTCACCCTGCCGTGACTGGGAGAATGACAAACCAATAATTAGTCCTCCCCTCATTTGTTGTTTTCATTGCCTCAGTAACTACTTAAACAGGTTGCCTCATTAGCAGTCTTTAAAAACACCTAAAGATGTCAAGACTTTGAGACTGTGTATATTTTAAATTATTTCCAAAGATAGTGACAGAAGAGAACAGGACCAAATTTACTGATTCTGTGGACCTACAAATCTTTTACACTTTAAAGGGAGTGGTAAATGACTCCATTTGTATGGGAGGATGTGGTTTACCATTTTAGGGGAATGCTTTATGAGGCCTGTACATTTGTTCTTGGCCTTAATGTTTTCTGGAATCATTAATTATGCTGGAAGGCAATGTGTTCAGAAATATAAAGCACTCAGTCAGTACAAACAATACTATTCTCTTTCAGTTAATATTGAAAAAGTAGTAAACTTATAAAAGTCCAGACCTGTATCTGCTAACATTTATTATCAGAATTTGGATTATTCTAGGAACTGTTCTAGAATGTCGCAAGTGCCTTTCTTACAGCTGCTGCTGGAACAGTATTATCACGGCCTAACTTACTCATCTACACCACATACTGAAGCCATATTCTATAGTTTTTTGCTAAACTCAGAACTTTTGGCCTAATTTCCAGCCACTACTGCTGGTAGGACAGGCAGGTACCAAGGGCACTGCAGCCCTGAGCTCAGTTCCTTCTAGTGGCAGTGTGGGATTCTTAGAGGGTGACCAACGGTCATATCCAGAAAGTGAATCCTGAAGGGCTGTGTGCCTAAAATGCACTAAGGGATTAGAGATGCAATGAAACCATTTAATTGTTGGCAATACTCTGGCCCATACTGTGCTGCTCTGTTAGTTCTAGTTTTCAACAAAACTGGTAAATATTTCCTCGAGTACATTCTTTCTCTTTGTCCTCAACAATGAATACTGGTGCTCTTGTCTCAAGTAGAACAAATCTCGTTTCCATTTTATCTGTTGAAGCATGTTTCTGATTCTGAAATGTGATTCTCCCTGGAGTCCACAGTAGGCAACTGTGACCATGAGAATAGTTTACCTTCAGTTCTAAGATGTTGGTATATGTACAACAGCATTCAACACGCCTGTCTTGTTCTTACCTGTCTGTGTAGCTTTCGTTCTAGGCCTTTTGTCTGTATCATTACATTATGGTGGGTTAAGATATTCTGACACAGCCTGTGGAGTTTCTCTGGAATAAACCTGTTTCTGGCAGACTCTGTTGACAGCATCTCCGAGTCCATTCAGAACCACCCACCTAACACCATCAAGAGAGTCAAGGGTCAGGTGGCTTAGGGAGAGGCAGGTTCAAGGGGTCCTAGTGTAACAGCAGAGAGGGTGAGAGCAGTCCTGGCTTACCTGCCCTCTCTGGAGTATTTAACTCCTCGCTGCAGCATGGGAACCTGAGGGACAAGAGCAGAGACCGTTCCAGATGAAGGTAAGAACAGCTGGTATCTAGAATAAAAAGGCATTCTTTTCCTTTTGAAGTAAATGTGTACTTGAGACAATTTAGAGAAAAGCCCACATTCAATATCCTTCCACATGAGTGTCTAGTAGCAATAAACTTAAGAGTATTTCTCAAAATAGGTCCATGTCAAAAGCTAGAAGCAAATATCTAAGGTGCAGTAATGGAATGAGTATAACAGTAAATACATACCTTAAACTCCTAAAGAGTAGAGATTCAAAAGTGCACACTGACAGGTTTATTGGTGAGATACTTAAATGCAGGCATATAAAGACACAAAATGATGGACTGGGCTCCACTGAAATGGTGGTAATTGACACAAAAAAGCTCTCTGAGAAGTATGCTTCAGTTACTGAAAGAGGCCCAACCTTTACACAAAAGGTAAGGGTTTAAAAAAAATTAGAGCCTTTAGCCTTGCCTTTCACTATTAAGAGAGCAAATAGATGAATCATAAGCCAGATTTTTATGTATTACCCTCAGCAATTCCTGTGTTACTCCCGATCAAAGCCAAGGCTCTGCACATTCTAGGCAAGTGCTCTAACACTGAGCCCTGAGATTTGGAACTTTGAGGACTATGATAACCACATTAGAGAGGGAGAATAAAAACAAAAGGCAATGTGTTAGCTTTCTATTACTGTGACAAAAAACACAATTTACAAGTAGGAAAGGCTTCTTTTGGCTCACGGTTTGAGCTTTTGGTCCACATTTCGTTGACTCTGTTGCTTTTGGGCCCAGGCAAGGCAGCACATCATGCTGAAAGCAAGAGGTGGAGGAAGAAGCTGACTTCAAGGCAGGCAGGAGGGAGCTGGGGTCCCAACATCCTCTCCAAGGACAGACCCCTGATAGCCTAACTTTCTCCCACTGGGTCCTGTCTCTCAAAGGTCTCATCACATCCTGACAGGGCCACAGGCTGGGGGCCAAGCCTTCAACACATGGCCTTTGGGAGGCAATTCCCAATCCAAATTATAGCACTGCACCCCAACCCCCAAAGGTGTGCATGTCACAATGCAAGATGCATTCAGTCCATCTCCAAGAGTTCCCAAACCTTAACAGTTCCAGAATTGCTCAAGAGTTGAAATCTGACACTTCAGACAACCCTTAAGCTGTGAGCCTGTGTAAAAATCAAGTTACTTACAAGATACAAAGACAGAGGGCTAAACATTTCCATTTCCAAAGGGAAGAATAGGGGCTAAAAAAGGAATGGAGCAAAACAAGACCAAACCCAACATGATCAACATTAAATCCTGTATCTCTGCATCCAGCATCAGTCCCCGCAGTGGGACATGAATAATACGAGCACTAAAGGCTTCGGCAGCCCACCTCTGCAGCCTTGCTGACCGCACCCCATGTGGCCAGTCTTCTGGGCTGCCTGCTGCCTGCAGGCCCCTCAGTAGGGATTCCACGTTCCTGGTGTCTCCACTGCAACTCTGGTTCCACACATCATCCTGTCAGGATGTTTGCAGGGACTGACCCTGCCACTTTCCTTAGAAATCTCGGAAGCCTCCATGACTCCTCGATTCTTGCATTTTTCATGGATGCAGAAGCAGCATCCTGTGGGCAGTGCCATGGTCTGCTGCCACTAGTAACTGCTACAGTGGCCTGAGTGCCTGACAACTGAGACCTGGGAAACAAACCTGAAGGAAACAATCTTTGAGCCTGTGACAGGTGGGGTCTCCTATAGTTCCAGCACAAAGTAGAGCGGTGCTCCCATTCACAAACATTATTCTTTCCTTGCTTCTGGTCATAAAATGAATTGGACAGCAACTGAATCAAATTTACCCTTAAGGTCAACACTGAACCTGACTACCTAAGCACTGAATTTGATTCAGTTCTCATCCAATTCAATATGCAACCAGAATTTTGGAAAGAAGTTTGTGAACTGAGGTACCAGTGTACGTGGCTTCTTAATAGTACCAATCTCTTTAGCAACTACCCACCTCCCCTTGGTGGCATACACTCCTTTTCTGGGAAACTGCAAGTTTTCCCAATTTTTCTATTGACTTTGGTGCTGATTTTCTATATAGATTTAGCTAAAAATAGCTAGCAAGATCCATCTGATGCCTGAGAGGTATGTTACCTTCAAATTTCTTCCAGCTGGGCAGAGTGGCGCACTTCTGTAATCCCAGCACTCAGGAAGCGGAGGTAGGAAGACTGGTGTGAGTTCCAAGCCAGCCTAGGCTATACAGTGAGTTCAAGGCCATCCTGAACTGCACAGCGAGACCTAATTTCAAAAAATACAAAAGACTCGGCACAGTAGCACACCCCTGTAATCCCAGCACTCAGGAGGCTAAGGCAGGAGAACCACTGCAAGTTTGAGGCCAGTCCGGCTACACAGACCCTGTCAAAGCAAAACTAAACCACCAAAAACCAAAATTTCTTCCACCACATAAACCCATCACCTTTAAATTCAGCCCCACACAAAAGTCTCAGGGCAGGGACAAAATGTAACCAAGTACCTATTTGCCAGGTTGCAACACAAGTAGCCTCTAATTCAATTTCCAATAGAATCTTTCTTTCCATCTCAACCGTCTCATCACCACAGCCTTTACTGCCCTCATTAGCACTGTGATCACAGCCCTTGCCAAAACAACACTGTAAGCTCTGCTTGCACCAGTTCAGGCTTACTGTACCCTGCTTATCAACAACAGGCAAATTATTGACTAAAAAAGGTATACTTACTTTTTTTAATCATGAAATTTATAGTCTAATATGGAAAAACGTTTGAGGGAATTGACTAATGAAAAAGTCTGGACCACAAGCACTCACCAAATAAGAGAGCCAACAATTACTAACTGCACAGAGCATTTATTTAAATGACATTTATTACAGTCTTTCCTCGTGCATGTCCTCTTTCCACCTTCAGGAAGGCGTCCGGAACTTTAGAAAAAGGAAAGGTTTGTTCAATAACTGGCTGAATCTGTAAAATACAAGATGAGATTGGTTAATAAGAAACCCATTCTACATCTTGCTGATGATGTCTGCAATTAATCTCTTCATGATATACTTTGAGGCCTGTCTTGGGCCTTCCTCCACAGTGCCGAAGTCAAGAGCTCGTGCCTGGCCATGACTGCCGCCTCTGCTCCTGTCCCTTCACATCTCTGAGGAGGCCCAATTCCCTTGTCCTCCACCCTTACTGCTGCTCTGCGCTGTCATGTCACTCTCTCATCCAGACCCCTCCAACAGCTCCCAAGCCTAGCATTCAAAGGCCAATACCACGCCAACCTCAGCCCTCCCGTAGGCCCTACACTTCACCAAGGTGGGTTCATCAGAGACTCTTCAGAGGCTGCATTTGCTATAACCAAATACACAGCTTGACCCACCCTGTTGTGTAAGGGAATATCAGAGGCGGTGCCCCAAAGTCCTTGCTGTTAGGCTTCCCTGTGGTTTCCCTACAGATAGAGCACAAAGTAGAGAAGAAATTTCCAAAAAGTATTAAATGCTTTGATTATTCATTCAACTTGAGTATAGTTCTCTGGTGTAGGCCACCTCTTTTGTATTCCTGTAGAACACCCAGAATAGGGCCAGGCACGTAAGATGAGTTTACACATGTCACTTGGGTGAAAATCAGCAAGTGGAAAGCAGGTATCTTATGTGAGCTCTCTGAGCTGGAGGAGAATTTGACCCAGGCTGGTCTGGGAAGCTCTGCTACACAGTGGTGCAGCTGGTTAGAGTTTGTAGGGAAGCTGTTCCAGCCAGCTCATCAGTTCCGAGTGCCGCTGGTCCTTTTCACCACACCATTAGCATGGCCAGCAACCTCCCTCCGATACTAGATCCCAGACCACACCCTTCTCCCCATGCCAAAATCTGACCAAACTCCCCTATATAAAACTTCCAGCAGAAATCTAACTGTCCACTGGGTACCTCACTGGGCTGCCTCCCCGCTCCAATGGCAGGGATGGGCCGCCAGGAGGCACAGGCCAATTTGCACACCAGCCACATTCAGATGCATCTGCCACAACTTCCTGTATGACTTTCACAGCCCCGACACCCAAGGAGCATCTCGGACTCTGAGTGTGCCCTTCTGCAAAGACTCAGAATTCTTTCCTATCCACAACTAACAAGTTCATGATAAAAGTAAAAGCTACTACATTCTGTCCTCACTATGTGCCAAGGATTGTTCCAAGGACTTTCTATATTTAGACCTCATTTAAAGCCCATAACCACCTTCTGAGGTAGGATTACCCTTTATAAATGAAGAAACTGAGGCACAGGGTTAAATATGTTGCTAAGTGCCACTTTAAGTGGTGACAGTGTGGGAAAGCCAGTCTCTGTGCGGAAACTTTTACCATTGTGTTGCTTTCCATCTCCACCTCTCGAAGAAGGGACAGGCAACCAAGAGTCATAATGACTTACGGCAGCCTGCATCTTGGCCTGCCTTCCTTGTGCCAGCTGAGGATCTGATCTGTGGGCCCTATGTCAGATGTGTGCCAATGCTCCCACCCGCCTGAGGAGCTGACAAGACCCTAGCACACTGCGCACAGCCTCAGGACCTTCCTCAACACCACAGCCACTAAGATCCAACCTGAGGGCACTTTTCAGATTTCCTGTGTGTCCCACAGCAAACCTGAACCCACTGCTTTCCATACATCTCCTGGGATGCTGTTTTCTGGATGCTATTTACCTACAGCAGGAAGTACCTGAATGCAGGCTTAACACACATTGTCCTGGGTCCTCTGCAGAACAACCCAATTGGACTCTCTAGGGGAGGGAAAGGACAATGCCTTTTAAAAACGCTCCCTGAGATGAGAATGCACACTGCAGTGGGGGTCCCCATAGCCTTCCGCCTTGCTCTTGGCTCCTCAGCTTGTAGCAGATACATCATCCACTCCACAGAAACCTACTAAGTGTCTGCCTTCCAAGCACAAGGCACTAACCCGGAGCAGGTACACAGAACAGGCTCCACTCCAGCGGGAGCCACTAAGCCAGCGAAGTGCGTTCACTTCAGTGCTCCCCCGGGAGCCACATAGGCTGAGCTGATGACCCAGCAGAGACTGCACACTTTCCTCTGGCTGGGCAGGCCCATTGTGGCAAATAACCCGAGAGGGCTGACCGCGGCACGATGAGTCATTCAGCAATTCCTGTAAGTGACCATGAAAAGGCGGCTTCTGAATCACAGGCAGGCTAATGCCACTGGCTGAATATGTGACAGCAAATGGAGATTAACTGGATAATGTGACGGCCTCACATCAGACCTAGAGTGTCTGTTTGCTAAGGGGAAAGGGATCAGAGTTAAAATCCAGAGAGGGGAAAGAAAGGTCACTCGCAGTGAAGTGGGGACATCTACGTGATGACACTGCAGAGGGAGCTGTGACACAGCGAGCGGGCCCAGCACCACACTTCCAGCTACAGCCCGGCCTGGAGCAGCAGTGCTCCTTCAGGCTTGGTAACAGGGACCGGCAAACCTCACCCCGCCTACATCGGGACGCCGTGGCTCATCAGGCAGGGGCAAGCTCCCTGGGCTCTGAGGCAGAAACCCTCTCTGTCCCATTTCTCACCACCTGGAACACAGGACTCTGGGGGAGAGAGGACATCGAGCAGGCACGGCAGGAGGCAGAGGTTCCCCTAATTCCCATAATCACAAGAAGTACAGAACAGCAGTGCCGAAACGGACCTCACTACCTGAGCAGCCTGTGCTGGAAGATCGGGAAGTCGACATGCCAAGGGGCTAAGCGGTATGTGCAGAGTCACAGCTGTCGGAAGCAGGTCCAAAATCAGGACCCAGGACGCCTGACCCGATTGCCAAATGGGATGGCCATGGTCTGGGAGTCAGGATCTGTTCAGTTATTCCCTAGACCCCCAGAGCACAGGGTGTGTGAGAAAACTGACAGACGACACTGACAAGACCTCAGGGTTCCACACACCCACCGATGGCACCAGGGCCGCAGTCCCAGCATCGCCTCTGAGGCGGGGATGCTCTGATCTCCTGGACGGGCTCAGCATCTTCAGGACTCATTGGTGCAAAGGGGAGGAGACTTCCAGTCCCCTGAGATAACAAGAAGACAAGGGAGCTTTGCTCCTGTTTGCAATTTTGTAGATACTTTCTGCCCCCACACAGAAAACTCAAAGCTGAAAAGACAGGTGCTAGGATAGGAATGGATTCAGATGAGGTTGCGCTCCAAGAAGTAAAGGTCTTGTTTTGAAAAGCATCCAGGGTTCCTAGGCACCCGCCCCGGAGAAAGAGCACTCCTCCTGCCTAGGTGGTGAGAGGAAAAACTCGGTATGAATTTCCTCAGGGAAAGAATTTCGGTATCATCAGAAAAAGGCTAGGAGATCAGGAGACACTCGCCATATCTGACAAGCCAACCCTCTTCTGGCAGGCCTTGGGATTTGAAATCTAATCATTACATTCTTTCCGGAGAGCAAAATCCAGGAGCAATATGGAGCTTAAATGTTTAGAATGCAGTCCACTGCTTAATTAGGGCCTGGCTATCCACAGGGCTGTGGGACGTTGCCTACCTTAGAATTCACCACATTTCCCACTAAAGCTGCAGTGTCCATTATGGTAGCTTCGACACGTTCGACTACTTAAATTTAATAAAAAATGAGCGAATAATAGGAAAGCTTCAGTCTTCCTGTTGCACCAGCCACATTCCACTGCTCCAGCCACATACGGTAAGTGGCTACCATAGAGGACATTTCCATCACTGCACAAAGTTCCAGAGGACAGCACTGCTCAGAAGGCCATTCAGTGTGGCCAGTGCATCTCTCCATCCCTTACCGGGTCAGGGAGAGTGCTAGAGTGCAGCAAATGTTCTGAACTGAACTCAAGTGTCACGTAGGAACCTCCTGATGCTGGCTAGCTGATGTGAGGAAATAAACTTATGGACATCTGTATTACTGTTCATCCAAGAAGTTCGGCTGCTTGTGTTGGATTTTTGGAGAGACAGAATGGTGACATGGAAAGGCTCTATTGGTGACATGAAGGGTATGTGTGTGCAAATAAACATACTCAAAAAGATAAAAGAGAGTTAGACGTATGCTGTGGTTCCAGCTAGAAGGGAGGCTGAGCTGGGAAGTTCACTCGAGCCCAGGAGTTCAAGATCAGCCAGGGCAACACAGCAAGAACCCATATACATATTTTTTAAAAAGCAAAAAAGCAAAAAACATCAGTTTCCCTCCTTAGGAGCAAACAGTATTTCCAAATCCTTTCATATACTTTTGAGACGTTTTATGCACTGTGGTGAGCACAATAACGGCCTCCAAAGATATTCATATCCTAGTCCCAATACTCTGAATACGTTACCTTACGTAAAAGGCGCCTAAGACAGATGCCATTAGGTGAAGCATCCAGAGATGGGGAGCTCATCCTGGGTTGTTCCAGTTGGCCCAACGACACCGCCCCTGTGTTCTTAGAAGAGGGAGGCAGAGGGCCAGAGTCAAAGGACACCTGATGAGAGAAGCCACGGCAAAGTGCTGGGGCCACAAGTCACAGAATGTGAGCAGCCTCCAGAGGCTGGAGAAGGAAAGTCAACAGTGCTCCCTAGAGCCAGCCTCCCACAACAACACAGCCCTGCCACCGCGACACAAGAGAATATAGTAAAATTCAAAGGGCACCTATGTAATGCTTGATATGTACACTAGCAAAAAACAGTGAGTGAGGGATTCAATGTATGAGGGATCATTATGTAACTCTTACTGCCTCAACCTTAAAGGCAGCCAAAGGTAGCGGAAGAAACTGCCCTAGGCGCCCAGAGACCTACCTGTGCAACCTCAAACATGTCATTTAAACTTTTACTCTCTTCAAGTGTGACATAAGAGCAGGGTGGAGATAAGAGACGAGACGGTAAACTCCAGGTGTACTAGGTTTTTCGGCTCACTATGCTAATCAATAACAAGCGTGGCCTGGATATGATTTTTGCGATGGGCCTCATTTCCCACCAAAAAACAGTTTGCTAAATATAAAACCAGGAAATGTTTACTGTGCTTAAGAAAAACTTCAAAAGAACTATAGGTACTGGGCACAATTTCCATGGCAGCCCCTTACCTGCAAGGTGCTAACTACACAGTATTCCCTTGGAGACTGCAGCGGAACCGTGGTTCCCTAACTGCTGGGAACCCGGAGTCCCCTGGCTGTGCGCAGCAATGCAGAGAAGGAGCACTGCGTGCAAGGGACGCCACTCCGTCCATCACCACCAGCACAGCAGCTCCTCCTCTGCCTCATCTCTGAACAGGGAGTGTTTGGCATGGCTGGGTTCCGTGGTTAAGAGACGTAACCTCCAGTCTAAGGCTGGCACTCTCTTTCAGTGAAGGGCAGGACAGTGAATATTTGAGGCTTGTGAACACACATAGTCTATGTTTGCTGAAAATGTAAAAAACTGCACTTAGCTCAGGGGATGTACAAAGATAGTCCTCAGACTGGATTTGGCCCACTGGTTGTAGTTTGGAAACCTCTGGCTAAGAAATAATGAAAACACTATATAGTTCTTAAAATCCAGACAAACTGTGCCCAGCTGGAATAAATATGAAATTAAAATCCCACCACGTGCAAGATGACCACATGATGACAGTTATGTGAAAACAGTGCCTAAGTCGGGATCTTGAGAGGACACGGACCGTGAAGTCCCCACACTTGAGAAGTTTCAGCTCCTCGTCACTTTTGGGCCTGACAATGGTGGCCACATTAAGGGCAACTCCAAAAGTACTTAGTTAAGTGCTATCCTGTGAGAAGGCCAAGGCAGGGATGAAGTTCATTACGAAAGCGTGAGGATGGTGCGATCACGGACTGAGAACACTCCTGACTATGGATATTCATCTGTGATTTCTGCATTTTCTACCACAGTAGAATACAGGGACAAATAACACTCCCCCGATAATACTCATTAATCCAGATACCAGGACAGTTTAAGTTAAAAGTGACCAATGCTAGACCTTCACATTCCCAAAAGCAAGCCTTTCATGAAGCAAAACAGGCAAAAGGGCAAGAAAAAGAAAAGAAACCTAGAAGGCAGGCCAAAAGAGAATTCCTGACACTGTATATACAAACTAGATTTTCAGAAGCTATTTTAGTACCTATTAAATATCAGTACAGATATCTTTGACTCAGTGACCTCATTTCTATGAATAGAAATAGACATACTCACAATTAGGTACTTAACACATTCTAATCTTTATTTGCAGAAGATTAGAATGAATAAATAAATGACAATACATCTGTACGAAGGAATATTATACAGCTGTTTACAAAACCAAGAATGAAAAAAGTTTTTATATCCTAAAGTGAAACAAAGTTCAAGGCAGCCGGGTTGCTTTAAAGAAAGTGAGGAAGCTGGGTGTAGTGGTATGTGCCTGTAATCTTAACACTTGGGACACTGAGGCAGGAGTATGTTGAGTTCAAGGCCTGGACTACATAGTGAGACCCTCTCTGAAAAAAGTGCAAGGCTCTACCCATTTGTGTTTGGAAGAGAGAAGAAACTGTGCTGTCTGGATGGACAGATAGCTCTGGAATACCCAGGAAACCTGTAACACCAGCCATGTCCAACAAGCAGAATCTCAGTGACTAAGGGACGGGAGTCGAAGGGCAATTGCTTGAAATACCTTTCCTACTTTTTTTTTGGATTTTGAACCTTGGGAATGTATTTATCTAAAATTTTAAATTAAAATGCTCTATAATAATAGGGTCAGCTGTTTACGACTTTACACTATCAAAAAAGAACTGTAGCTCTGGTATCAGACACCTGCTAATTAGACTCCTTAAGCCCCTGGCAGAAGCTTGAGAAGCTAAAGGACCTCACCCAGTGGAGCAAATCTCTACTAACTGCACAATATGTAATACGACTGCCATGCGGCTCTTTCAATTTCCCAGTTGAGACGGGCAATGGTCTCTCCCCATCTGCTGAGAAGCAGGGCATGATGAGACAGCTGTCCTTATCATGACATCCAGCGTCACTTACCAACTTGTACAGTTCCAGAGCCCTTGGCTGTCAGAAATGATTTCCAAGTCCCAGTAGCCTGGCTAGGAGAGCGGACAAAGAGTATTTCCTTGCTCACTCTACTTCAAGGATACTTTGAGGGCATCTTTTGGCTAACACTTCCTCTGTTCTATCCGTGATCTGCTAAATACCAGAGGTAAATACATACAAGTTACCTCTGATCTCTGTTGGATAAACAGTCATTTCCAGGTAGAGAGAGTCATGCTGTTTGAATACAAAAGAGCAAAGGTAAGCATGTGACTGCTTGGAGCAGATATCAGATGTACAATCATGGGGCAGGCTGCCAGAGGACAGAGACCCCACTAAGAATGGTGATCTAGCCATAGGCAGCACTGATGTCCTTTTTCCTAACAACAAAATAAGCGCCCCATGGGATGTGGGTGGACCCCTACACAAAGAGGCACTGACAGTCACAATGACACTGAGCCCATCTTTACCCAGGACACAGAAAGACCTAGGAGTCCAAGAAAAACCTCAAAAACTCAAAACCAAAAAATTTGGGAAGTACTAACAAGCCATATCTTATTACACAATTCCTTAGTTATAATAATAAACTGAAATGCATAAAAAGCAGCTAGTAGTTCTTAAAATAGTCTTCCTCAGGCCGGGGATTTAGCTTAGTGGTTCCACCACCTGCCTTGCAAGCACAAGCACCCGAGTTTGATCCCCGGTACCAAAAAAAAAAGTCTTCCTAAAAATCACAATGGAATGATGAAATGGGCCAGCAAAGGGCAGGTAGCAAGAGAAGAAAGCCCATTTTCTGGGGCTTGTTCCAACTGACGGCACAGGAGTCATGAGGTGGCTCTGCTGGCCCTGCTCCAACCCCTTTCCCTGCACACTGCAAAATGACAAGGACGAGCCAATGTACAGGAGCCCCAAATCAGCCCAGCCCCAGCCACTAAAAAGGCAGCCACGTGACGGCAGAGGGAAAGCACAGGCCCAGGAGTCAGGAGGGTGCGTTCTCATTCCCCTACTGCAAGCTGGAGAGTGTCCCTTTTTCTCTCCGAGTGTTTTCTCACCCACAAAATGAGAATCAATGTATCTCTGATCTTATGCAACCCTTTATGATACATATGATTCTCAATCCTATAATTCCATACAATCTCTCAGTCCAATCACCTGTACCAAAACCAGGATATGAATTCATCTCTGGCTTCCTAAGAGGAAGAACGGTCAGGGTGGTTGAGAGCACGAAGAACCCTAATAAGCAGGTGGTAGCTGAGGAGGCTTTTTACCCTGAGGAGCCTTCAAAGGCCCTCTGACACCCAGAAAAGGATGGCGAGGCTCTGGGCAACAGTCCCCTCCCATAACTTCCTTTGCAGGACAGACATCAGTATTCAGAGACCACCACCCAGCCACCTCCAGCCAAACCCCATCGATCTTCACCTGCGTCCGGCCACTAACCTCCTGATACACCACCTCTCTGTCCTGGATTTTATCACGCTAGCCTGGGAATCAAGAGGCTGGGGGAACTGCTTCTCACCCAGCTATGTTGGGGTTTAGATGCTATAGAATTTGCTTCCCTTCTTACGTGGAAAACAGCCTACCGCCAGTGCAACCTAAATCTCAAACTGAGTTATTTCCAGGAGCTGTTACTCTGAAAACTTGCAAGTGTATTATCATCATCTGTGTGCAGAAATGGCCTTCACAGTGCCAGCTTTTCAGGACTACTACCAAAGTATTAGCAGCCCAGTATGGATCCCAGCTCTGCTACAATCTGACCAAATGTCTTTGAGAAAATCATATAACACTCTGGGCCCACCTCTTCACCTATATACACCAAGGAAGGTGGACTAGACCGCATGAGCTCTTATTCAGATGCAGTGGTGTGTGTTTGATCCTGGTGGTGACAGAACCAAAAATACGACTTCAATTTGGCCACAAAAGACAGCGTGTATCTTAGCGAAGCTTGCTTCTGGAGAGTTCCCACAGCTGAGGCTGGTGGGCAGGTCTATAAGACATGTCTTTGCAATACAAAGGCTCCCAAATAAAAGGTTTTCAGATGCACCCACCTTTCCCGCATCTACGAGTTCTGCAATTTCATCTAGATGTACACCACTGGCCATGAAAAAGGCCCAGCGATAATGGACTCCTTGCCAGAAATGCTGAAAAGAAAACAAAACATGGTCAAATATGAATGATAAAATCGGACCTAATGAAAATTCAACGAAAGGTATTTTCTGAATAAATAAGACAGACAAACTGATTTTCCAATTTCACGTCAATAGCTTAGCACAGTGACTGACAGCAAATGCTCCATAATGTTTAAGGAATGAAATGAATAAACAGAGATGCAGCCCCGTCAGCTCAGGCTGCTACTCCCAGCCTAGCCCACAAACATGTCAATAGCAAGTGTTCTTTAATGACAGACTTACACAGTGGACTGTTTCCCTAAGAGGAATTACGGCCGAGACCTCTAGGCTTCCCCTATTAAGGTTTAAAAAGAAGCCTAAAAACACTAGAGAAGAGATCTTTACCAAATTCAAAAATGCTTCAAGACACAAAAAGGTACCAAATATCATCTTAGAAACTCAATCACACACTTTTTTGGGGGGCTCTGATAGGAACAGGCAGCTTTAAAGCCCAAACAAAGCTTGCAGTTCCTTATACATCATGACTGGGTCTTTCTCTACAGTTATAGTAAATACTAAGCCACCCAATTTATGAGGTAAAACTTCTCCATAGGAGAATGAGCAAAAATTTTACACAAGGAGGGTTTGACTCAAATGCCATACTTGCAACTGTATTATTCTTCCCGTTGCAGGAAGTGGTCCATTATCACCACAGCATGTGAACTGAGGTTCTTCGTGACCCCTGTCCTGCCCGACCGCAGGGCACCAGATGGAAGAGACCCAGAGGTCACATGGGCCCCTCATGGCAGCCACTGGAGCACCGGTTGGCCGTGTTACTTCAGCTATGCTACCACCCGCATCCTGGCCCAGTGCACTGGCATGACCACCTCGCTGGCAGCCTTGGAGGAAGGATTAGACAAGAGTGGACATTAAAGCCAGGGCTGGAAATAAAGTTTACTGAGGAAAGATTGGAATGCTACTACGTCAATCTCAGAATGCAGAAAGAAAAAAACGTTAACTTGTCAAGGCAAAGCCTCCCAACAAGGCGTGTTGAGAAAGGCTTACTGGTTGAGTGGCCACATAGTTTATTTTCCAACCGAGAAAAACTGTGAGAGTTGGGAGTCACCCTTAAGAACTGCCCCAGGCCAACAGTCAAACTTAGTGTGGAACAGGTGATGAGACAAGATTCCTTTTAGCCCTCAGGGTAGCACAGCAGAGCCTGTGCTGGCAGAAATCTCAAGAGAAGTTGCTCTTGGCCCAACACAGCCCCCATGTGCTGTTCAGACTATCGTTTTCTGTGTATCATGGAGTGAAGGAGGTTGGGGGGCACTGGTCTAGACTTTAAAATAATAGTGTTGCCTTCAGGCTTTTGTGACTGGCTACTAAGAGCACTGAAAATGTCACTAGTTTACAGGGGATGGGGGAGCGGTTAGTGACAAGCACTGGAGACCCGTTCAATTACTTCCCTCGAAGGTTTGGTCACGGGGACTACAATTAAACATCCTGGGAATTGTTTAGGCTATTGAAGAAGGAACAGAAATGGTGGCAACTGTTACGTGTACAATTCTTTTTTTAATGGCACGTTATTCTGCAAACTAAAACTCTTCTCTGCAATGGCAGAATTTTTATATTCTGCTATAAGAGGTCTTTTTACCCAGGGTGCCGCAGGAGAGAAAATAAAGCCAAGCAGGCAGGAGAGTCAGAAGCCTGACCGTGAGGCTTTAGCCATGCACAGCCTCAGAAAGACTGGACACTGCCTGCAAGGTCTCCACATGAGATTGCGGTTGCCATCTCTCAAGGAGGGAGAAAGGAGAGGAGGAAGAGCGCTGTGCCCTTTTTACTCTCCGAGCGCTGTTCCGACGCTTTAACCCGGATCAGGTCTCAGCGGAATACAAACTGTGCAATCTTCGGGGAAACACTGGAAAGTCAAAGGTTTTGTGAAAAGCACAAAAACAGACAAAGGACAGCTAAGCTGTCTCCACCACAGAGAACCCTGTCTGCAGCCGCTACCTGAATCAAGAGAGAATGAAGAGCGGGATTCGGAGCTTAAGTCTGTTCTTACACAGTTTTGTAAGGAGGAGAATCAACACATTTTATAAATTTAAGGGCTGCAACGAGTAGATGGTCTTTCCAGACAGTCACATGCCATGTCCCTACAGAAAACAACCTGGACGCGAGCAAGAGGTGGCCTTCCAGAAAAGTAGAAACGGACTGGGTGCTCTGTGCAATTGCTTTAGTTGTTTTCTTTTCTGTCCTCATACCTGTTTCATATGAACTATGTCACCGTCTTCACTGCTACTCTAAGGATTTAGTTAAGGCACAGAATTCAAGAGACCAAAGTCCTAAATTTCATCTTCCCTGAGAAGATCCCAAATTATTTTTTTTTCCTGGTACTGGGAACCAAAATGGACCTTGCACTTGCCAGGCAGTTGCGGCATCACTGATCTACATCCCTGGCCCTTCCAAATTAATTTCTAATATAAAGAAGCAGCTTTAGCTGAGGTATAGCTCAGGGAGCACTTGCCTCACAGGTGTAAGGCCGTGGGTTCCATCCCAGCACCGCAAAAATAGAAAAAGCAGCTAACAAAAATCTATTAAGTCCATCACCTCACAAACATGGGTCAGAGTTGGCTGGGCTAGGTGACTTTTACCACTAAGAAATTTCCTCCTGCTTTTCTTCCTTAGCACTGATATCTTATCGAACTAAAAACCTAGAATTTATCTTTATTTTTCTCTAACGCACGTTCCCTTTCAGCACTAATTCAATGGTTTAAAGTTACCAACAGTTTATAGCCTGAAATTACACAACCCTCTGTCTCCACTGTGGTGACGACAGGCTGTGGCACTGAGGGGCCAGCAGATGTACAAGCTCTGCTGTCAGTGCCGAAACTGAGGCTGACTGCACTCAACTCCACTCACTAGGTGTGTTCAGGTGAGGTGACAGCTGCACAGGGGCCTGGCCACAGTGGCTGGCTCATCAGTACCTAGTGTTTCTAACCTGTAGGGGACAGAAGTGCTAGGATGAGCTGTTATACTCCCGGTAAGTGCATGCTCGCTCTACTTGCCCTGGTAGCCTAAAAGTAACACTGCACTTTTCTTTAGGTTTTTGAAATTCAATGAAATGGCCAAAGCCCTCCAAGGGTTAGCAAGCCCCACCTGGGAATCACTGCTGTGTCCCACAGGAAAACAGCAGCTGTACACTTTTTGAATGAAATTTCTACCTAGCCGGGTGTGGTGGCTCACACCTGTAATCCCAGAACTCGGGAGGCTGAGGCAGGAGGATCACTGAGTTCAAGAGCAGCCTAGTGAGTTCCAGGTCAGTCTCAACTACACAGTGAGACCCTGTCTCAAAAAATCACCCCCCCAAAAAAAAAGAAAAAGAAATTTCCACCTTTACACACGAGAGATTATGTGCGTTGAGACTGGAGTGACAGAGAGACAGTCATTAAGTTTAGGCAGGAAGGAAGCAGACAAGGTGCCAGATAGAATCAAGAGAGGTAACAACTGATTAGGAAGCCAACATTTAGTAAGAGCTTTGTATGTACAAGGCGATATGCCAACTCACTTTGCTTATCTAATTTAATCCTACAAAGCATGAGGTAGGTGAATTATTAACTTCGTTTTACGGGTGTACACACTGGGCTTAGAGATGTTAGAAAACTTGTAGGATCACACAGCTACTCAGTTCGGTCAGATTGGAGACCAGCCAGTGCAACTCCGAGAGTACATGCTGGCAGCATGTGCTACGCTGCCTCTGAGGGGGGACAAAGTGGCCAGGGCTCGCGCCACTTTCCGGCAGCAGGGGCCACGTGCTTGCTCTTAACCTGCCAAGGCTCCTTCCTACCTTTAACGCTTTTGTGCCCACAGTGAGTCCGGTCTGCAGCATGCCGTCTGCTACGCCCAGGCGGTCCATGTTCAGGAGGAAAGGGGTCACCAAAGTCACATAGGTGGCTCCTGACCATTTCTTGAGAAATTCGAGAGCCCATGTTTCAGTGGATCCACCAACATTATCAAGGATAAAGTCAAACCTGGAGAGAGGAGCAACCACAATATCCTTGTCAGTCCCTTCAGTCCTGTCACCAGGTGGCCACCGGGTGTATCCTAGGATAGCTCAGAAGCCATCCTGAAGCACCACCCAGCTGAGGGATGGGGGCTCGAAGGACATACCCTCTTCCTCTATGGCTTTTCTCCAAGGTCAATCCAATAGGACTCATTTTTTGCCATAAAAACCATATTTTTAATACTTTAAACATGATCTAACCAAGTGATTCTGAATTAGAGGGGACTTTGGCCCCTGTGATGCAGAGAATAGACACACACAGAAAAGGTATCCTCACCAAAATATCAATAGCTGAAAAACTTGGGTTGCCAAGGTTGAGGAGCCCCAACTTGAGCTCTGTAGAAAAATGCAAAGTGATCCATTCAATATAAATCAAAGTATTATGTATTACATATGAACACTTGGAAAGAAAAAGCATGTAAGATTTTTACTCAAAAGAATGACTACTTATTTCCTCCATAGTAAAAAAATACTTGGGAGGAATGTCCTCTTCTCCTTCTAGAATTTTCTACTTTCTGGTTCCATGGACAGAATCGGGATGATGAATAAAGAGAAATCAACACCATTCTCCCAGTCTTCAGTTCTGCTCTAACATGGCAAAGAAATTCATCATATGGAACCCACAGGAAATAACAGATACTCAAATCCTTAAATCTCACCAAAAAAAAAAAAAAAAATGCTATAATCACTATGCTCCACTTAGAAGAGAGAAAAACCCACTAAAGCCTTAAATACTTTGGAGAAAAAGAAACTATTTAAGGAATGCATTGTGTAAATTAAGCAAATCAATTGAATCTCTCTTGGGTAAATCTTTTTCCCCTTCCAAATTCATCCTGGTGAAGTCAAACATCAAAGTTTCTAAAGCCAGCTTTGGCCAATTTCATGAATCTTGTGTCTTTCACGGGATTAAACTAAAGAAAGAAGAAAAAAAATCAAAGGATATGAATCACAGAAGAATGACCTTACTAGATAATTATTCCTCTCATTAGTAATAGTTTCTACTTCCTTCCCAATTTTGTTTTTTTGTTTTGTTTTTTCTGGTACCGGGGATCAAACTTGGGTCCTTACATTTGCGAGTCAGGCGGCGGAAAAACTGAGCTAAATCCCTAGCCCCCCAGTTTTTGAATAAACAAATGTGAGGATACTTAAAACTTAAGGGCAGCCTGGTATTATGGTACCAGCACTGTCTGAGAAGTCTGGAGGTCAGTTATAGACTCATGATTCCACTAATGATCACTGGTAGGACTCTGAGCACACAAAAGTTACGAAGTCCTCTGCCTCTGATCTTCTCAACTGTAACATGACTGGGACAGACTGAAAGATTCTTAAGTTTCTTCCCCGCCATAGAAGTTCAAACACTGCACAAGCTGCTACTTGAAAGAAGAAACAAATTTACTACTGGTAGATTCAAACTCTGGGAGAAATTATAAAAACCAGTTTTAACAAAAGCTGTCACAAAGGAAGAGGAAGAGAAGGAAATAGGGAGGCGGAGAGGTGGTGATGGAAGCCGGTGAGATCCCCCTTACTGGAAAAGCTTGAGCAAAGGGGCTGAGGGCATGTGGAGCAATGCCAAGGAGAACTGTAGCACTGGGCTGCACGGTCAGACTGAGGGTCGCTGTTCTCTGGAAACAAACCCAGACAAATAAAATACTGGAGGTAGAGAGCGGAATGGGCAGCCTCTGCTATCTAGAGACTGTTGTGCCCAAGTCGCGAAGTCCCCAAAGACCACCGCCAAGGAGTCAGGTCCGATGCAACTACACAAGGAGTTTATTACAAGCTCGAGCCTGCACCCTTGGATGTCACCGACGCAGCGGCTTCAGACCGAGAGCCCCGGCCCACTTTCAAAGCATGATTATATAGGGTTCGGGAGGCTTGAAAAGCTCTAATTTCTATTGGCTCATTATTACTTAAATCTTAATGTTGCTATTGGGTATCACTAGGCGCGCGAGGAAAAAAGGGCACACTCGGGCAAGGAGGTGGGACGTGGGAGGGGGGTCGGTTCAACTCTGGGCCCCTGAGCTCCCGCGCTCGGGCAACCACAAGATCTTCCGGTCTATATAGAACATCTGGTTCCTCTCTTGGTGGCCTCCTCCCTGAGGCCTCAATTCCTGTCTTTCTAGTTCAAATTCCTCTTGCTAGGGATCAAGCAAAGGACAAGTTTTACCCAAACTGGTGTCTAATTCTAAGATGGAGTCAGCCTGGCTTGAGAGAATTCAGGGACTGAAGGGTCTCGAGGGTCCCACAAAACCAGGTCCCAGACCCCTTTTACGTTCTCATTTCCTAGGAACCCACAGGGGCTGCCTAGGCCCTGACACTTAGGCAGGAGGTAGCTGGGAGTTCTCAACTGTGTCCTGATGCAGGAGCTTTAAACTTGCTGTTATCATTGCCCAGTTAATTCTTTTTCGATACCCTGAATAATTAATTAGATAGTATTGAGCACCTACTATGTGCCACACACTATAGTACCAAGCACAGGGGCGTAGCAGGGAACAAGGAAAACAATTCTGCTCGAGAAGATTGCTCACAGCTCTGCTTACTTGGAGAGGCGCTCTTCCATCGTTTGCCAAGACGACCTCCTCCTCAACCATCCACTGTCCTCCTTCCCTGCATGAATTCCCTCACTAGCACTGACCACCAAAACCGGCAACCAGAATGAAACATCCATTTTGGGGAAGATGTGTCTCTTTCTTCACTGTAGCTAGGCTTTGAACCATCAAGAAACTAGCCAATAACAAATGCTGGCAGGAATGTGGGGAGAAAGGAACCCTTCTCCATTGTTGGTGGGAATGCAGACTGGTGCAAACACTGTGGAAATCAACATGGAGATACCTCATACAATTAGGATTAGAGGTTCCATTTGACCCAGCTATTCCCCTGCTGGGTATCTTCCCAAAAGAATTAAAAGAATCACATCACAGTGATATATGCCCACCCATGTTTATAGCGGCACAGTTTGTAATAGCTAAAACTCAGAAACAACCCAATCGCCCATCAACTGGAGACTGGATAAAGATGTGCTTTTGTTTTGTTTTATATAAAATGGAGTACTACTCAGCCATAAAGATTGAGAAACTAGAGACATTTATAGCTAAGTGGATGCACATTGAGGCCATACTATTCAGTGAAATTAATAGGACACATATGTGTAAATACCAAATAGTTTCTCTGGTGTGCAAAACTAAAACTGTAAATAAGGATCAAAATATATAATTGACATTGTATAATAGGAATAAAAGGTCTAAAAGAGCAAGGGAAGTGGGAGGAGTACGGGAAAGGTAAAAAGGGAAAAGAAAAAATACGAGAAAAGGAAAAACATGGAAACAATGTCTTTGTAGACAGGGGAGGGTGGAGGGGTGAAGAGAGGGCTGGGAATGGGGAAAAAATATGAACCAAGATGTATCATGTAAAGGTACAAGATCCCAATGATGAATGTAACTGTATTGTATACTTAAAATGGATCAATAAACTTAATTTTTAAAAATTTTTAATTAAAAAAAATTAAGATCCATAGTCAGAACACAGGGTGCAAGAGAGCTCCTAATCTGTCCTTGCTGGGTCCAACCACAGTCTGAATTCAGACACATCAAGGACACCCATGGAGCTCCATTGCCAGTATCTACTTAGTGAACCAACACTTGAAGTGTGCTTACTGCTAATCAGGTCTCCTTGTGCACTATTTTATATTCTTCCTGTGCTGACAGATGCCACCAAAGGGAATGCACTTCCAGTCTCCCTTCAGACCTCTCCAAGCCAGCAATGAAAATACGTTAACTTAAAATCAGCGAAAGACCACACAAACAAGGTAACTTCCTCAATGCGGATCACGTTATGTTACCACACTGTATCAACCTCTGGGATTAGAATGGAACCCAATCTAAGTGGCTTCTCATGACACAGATCCCAACAAGACTGAAGCTGTCAGACCACCTCACTCGCGCATCAGCAACTGCCCTTGTGCCCACTGCCCAATGGGACACTGCTCTAGTACATACGGTTTTAAAGGTTTCAGCTGCTCTTCTACACGTCCAGATTTGTAATCAATTACATCATCCGCCCCAAGCTTCCTCACAAGTTCACTGGCATCTTTAGAGCAAACTGCTGTCACATGAGCATCCCACGCTTTCATTATCTGCCAGAAAAAAAAAAAAAAGGAGGAGAAAATAGAAAAAATGCATTAAAAATAAAATTGGCATCACATGTACCTACATCGGACTCATCTCTAGAGAATTCTGAGTGCCTCATCTTAACAAGAAGTATAGGAAGCCATCTGTGAGACTAGTAAAACTGATAAAACTCTTCATTCTGAAGAAAATCTCAAGAAAGAGACTCAGTTTCCACAGGGAAGCCAGCTAGTACCTCCACGGCATGAAGTTTTAACCAATCCACTAGGAAGAGCTCAGTGCCTCACTAGCCCAGAAAACACTGAGTTAATAGCCTCAAACTTAGTGCTTGTACTGATGACCATGGTAAGCAGCAAAAAAAAAAAAAAAAAAAAAAAAAAAAA